ATGAAAGATCCGAGGAACCAATTAGATCCTTAGCACTATAGTCGACTAACAGAAGTCACCATTACTTTTGTTTAGATAACAAGTTCTCTATAAAACTAGGTTCTAGGTTCTAGTCTGTGGTCCCTGGGTAAACATATTTGACAAGTTTCTGTTAGAAATTTTAGTAAAATAAATGTTTAATGAAAATATACGGTTGTAGTAGTCATTAGAAGCCTGTGAATGTAAAAATAAATTAGCAAGTAGCAAATAAAGTAGCAAGGTTTGGAATTTTAGAAGGGATCAATCATCAGTCGTCACATATGACATATGGGTGCATCACTGCGTGTGAGGATATGTTACAACGCGCGCTATTTGCAATGTGTAACTGATCAGTAAATTGTTTACAGATTTTTCAGTGTATTGAATAATGTAATAGTAAATATTACTCTATATTATAATATAAGGAAGGAATAATTTATGTTAAAGAAATTTGAATTGTTATATTGTAGTATTTATATTATAGAAAGTTGGGTTATTATATTGAAGTATTTATATTAAAGGAATTTAAGTTATTATATTATTGTATTTATATTAAAAAAAAATACTTTAAATACAGCAATGAAGAAGTAGTGCATCGTTCGATTTAAAGTTCCAACTTCTTTCTTATCGATTCATGTGACTTTAAAAACGTCGAATTAATTATTATTATGTGATCGTCACAAATTCATCCTTTATTCTTAGATAAATTTCCTATATTTGTTCCTATATTTATTCTTATAGTAATCCTATATTTATTGTCATTTATTTTACATTTATTGCTATATTATTGCTATATTTATTTCTATATTTACCCTTATATTTATCCTATATTTACCTTATATTTATGCTATAATCACCCCACATTTATTCTAAATTTATTCTCATATTTAATCATACAACGATTCTCAAATATCTCCCGTATCTCATACCCAGAACACCGCACATTATCGACAGTTTGAAAGTGTACATCCGATTACCGCATTTTGCAATGTAACCAGTTTAACAAATCGATGAAACAGCGTTATAGCAAAACATACACGTGAAAATATTGTACTAAAGGAGGGATGTAAAATACTTGCAAAATAGACATCGAAGAAGAGAAGCACTGCGTGGTTAACGAACCAGAATTGCTGATTAATCGACGGTTTCTAATTTATCCGGCGAAGTAAGCAAACACTGGGGGCAAGACAGAATTTCCAGATACCTGGGCCAGGTTTACCGCGATGGAATATTGATGATCACGCGTTTTGCATACGTACCCTCTTCCGGACATTTAGCGAAACTCCGTCGACCGGAAGGTAATTCGCAGTTCGAATGAATTCGTCATGATTTCGTGAGCAATGTTCACCCGTTACATCGTTACAGCCTGTGCTCACCTTCATCATAGACATCCGCCGTGGCTTGCAAAGTACCCCTTGCTTTCGGGCCGGGTTTTCGAGGTGTAAACCGATAGAAATACTGAACGAAAGAGAAGGAGAGACTACGGAGACGAGGATGGATGCAGATGCTGCGAACTTTCGGCAGAAGCGTCTCAACGGAACCATTTAAATTTATGGACACAAATTTCTATCTAATAAAGAACCCTGTACTATAACTATGCATCAATGAACTGATTAAGAAAAGATAGCAAATAAGTCGTGAAATGTTCTTACACATCGACTCGGTACTAAAAACGGGAAGCACCTTATTGTGCGCGAAGTACTTGTTTCTCTCGTGTTTAGCGGCGGGTATCTGGTTCGTAGATTAGGAACGAAGGGGACAGTAACAGTGACCGATAAATTTTCGGCGACTGTCTCTTACTTGTAATTAAACGCACAATTTAAACGAGCCGTTAATGTCAGCGTGCCCAAACCAAAGTGTCTCCTGGTAGGTAAGTGTTCTGGCTTAATACTAGGATCAATTGGATCGTCTTATGTAACGAATAATCGGAACTTGCAACGATCTTGTATTTACAAGTTTTAAAGGTGGATAACCTAGATGTCACTGGTACACGTGACGCCTTGTAATCATCGATCGATCACGTGAATAAAGAAGAGGATTTTATTATGCATGCGTATAAACGAAACACGCTCCTAATTACAGCATTGTGACGACCCATGCCACGTACCAGTCGAACATCTGCGATCCATCGTGACGGATAAATCACCTTGGGACCACCCTCCAATCGCATCTCGGCCATCGCCTTGCATATAGACAGTTACTAATGAGCCAACCCCATTTAATTAACTGTATATAGTTTCGACGCAACTGCCAGACTATTTCTCGGTTAGCACACCATGCGTTGTCCTTTCGTTTTATGAACTCTCCTAGCGGATTTCAAGAGCATCTGTTCGATTTCCGTTTTAGAATTGATTTTGTGAAATATTTATGTACGATACAGGTTATGTAGATTAACTTGCACTATTTTGACGAGTCTGACGCACTCGTACTTCGTGATCACTTTTACTCGAATTAATACGCTTTAATTTGGAGTTCAAGTCCAATAATTTGCATAGTCAATGATTGAATAATATTGACATAACATTTCAATTTTTTCTATCTGTTTTAATATTGTAATTAGTCAGTTCTAACTGACGCACCTGACAAATAAGTCATAATGCAAGGGGTTAAATGAAGAAAATTATAAAGTTCGCAATTATAGAAAGATCATCAAAGTTCTAATTGTTTAATCTATTATAAGAAAGTCATGAGTATACATATATTTCCATAGTTTAATTATGATAAATGAAGTGGCAGTATTATTAACGAGGTTAAGGCATATAGATAAAAACATGTGATAGCATTGCATGATTGTGGTGCACTGTATCTTTTCAACAGATCATAACCTTTTGAATGAAACGTTTAAATGTGCAACATTATTTAGAACGTGATAAATTTGAAGATATGATAGGATAACTGTAGATACTTATGTTTTATAAACTTAGGAATCAAATACGTTAAAGGAATTAGAAATTGTTATACTAAAGTTCCTTTCTCAAAGTAACGAAATTTTTTTGCAACTTACATTCATTGCATAATAATATAATTTCGATATAAAATAATTAGTATAATTATTAGATATTAATATAATTTAGTAGTCACGTTCACAAAACTAACAAATATTTATTGCATTAAACATTTTTCTACTGCATTATAAGTTTTAGTTTTGTAATTCTAAAATCTGATTGAGGTTATATTTTCTTTTGGATAAAATTATCAACGTCATATTATCGTTTAGAAAATAATGCTATGAAACGAAGATAATTTAAAAATATAAGTTGATAAAATTTGTCAAAGTTTCTTCTACTTGACCTATGCAACAGAAATTGCATTTCATGAATTGCATTTCATATTATACTACTACACAAAGTGTGTCAATGAAGCATATACCGACATTATTATATAATTTAACAAATAAGTGAACAGAACTAAAGTTCATGTTGCATTGACTGTTTCAAAATCACAAATGTTATAAATAATCATCTAAAATCATTTAGTACATTTGATATTTTCATGTTCAATATTAATCTTCATGTATACTAATTAAAAAATAAAATATAATTGAACTATGGAACTATTATATATTGAATTATACTTATACATATATAAAATACGAATATCAAGTTTTTTTTTAAATCATTATATAAATATATAAGAATAATCTTAATATAAGATATATTTAAAGTCGAGTCTTAAATGACCCAGCTTTCACTGTTCAAGTAAAACAGCATTAGATTAAGTTTAAAGCAAACTGGTTGTTCATTTTATAATATTTAATGTTTACTTCACACCAATGAAAATTGGTGTTTATGTAACGCCAATGAAGACAGAAGAATGAGGTATATACTAGAAGAAAAACCAAAATAACCCTAGTTTGTTAAGAAAAAAAGACGAACCAACAAGCCTCCGTGGCGCAATCGGCTAGCGCGTTCGGCTGTTAACCGAAAGGTTGGTGGTTCGAGCCCACCCGGGGGCGTGTTATTTTTACTTCTGCTTTTCTTTATTTAGAAAAAACATTTTTATACCAATATATAAAACTACATACTAACATATTTACGATTTGAATAATTATGTAAATATTCAAGAATCATTTGCTACGTAAATTAATAGCACGTTTTCCGTTCCTTCAATCAATTTTACTATTCTCATAATTTTGTCTAAAAATATCACAAATAAAATGACTAATAAAAAGCACTAATAACAATTAACTGTTATACTCGCATTCTATCAGAATTGAATACTTAATTATAAATGATGCACTACCATGAAAATGATCACAATTTGAAATTATAGTATCATAAAATGCAGCTATAAATTGCAAAATATACATATAAGAACACGGAAATCAACATGTACCTGTCATTTTCAATGATTCTTGTTTTGCCAATAAATGGAAAGAAAATATAAATATTGTGGAGTGTTTACTAAAAATAAAAATATTATATTGTGACTAGTGGAATGAAATATTGCAAATTCAACACGATACTTCACCGGCGCCGTGGCTTAGTTGGTTAAAGCGCCTGTCTAGTAAACAGGAGATCGAGGGTTCGAATCCCTCCGGGGCCTTGAAGCGAATGTTGTAAATTGCTTCCCTTCAATATTTTTTTCCACACAAACATATTTTATACATTTAATTTATGTAATATTAATTCATTCAACACTTCTTAAAAATTGATAGCTCATTTGTTTATACTCAATAGCAAAAATATAAATTGCTATTCAATGCCAAATATTTAACAGGATATCTCCGAATAGAATTTTACTTGCAATGAAAGAAAAATTGTGTACAACGTAACAACAAGAATACACGAACGGAAACAAACGACTGGAAATAATATCGTACGTATAAAAAATAAAATAATAACTAATTAATAATAACTGAATAATCAAGGTTATACTACATATGGAGCATTTGAACAATTCTCATTTATGATTAATATAACTGTAAATAAAAATAAACAATAAATAGGCAAGAATTAGATTACTTTGGTATATTGACTCACCAGAGGATGATCAGGTTCGATGCACAACACTTTGTCACTGATTTTAAAATTTAATTACGAATAAAAAAGCGCGATTTCCGACAGATTGAAATTGAAATCAGAAACTGCTTCGCGTGGCAGTGTCGCCATATTGTTTTCATGTTTCACAGTTGGTAGTCCTGCTCGGCAGTTATTTCAATCAAGGAACTTCGTTGTTGTCGTTTAATGCGTCGCGTGCGTTATAACCTCGTTTCCCGCAAAAATGAGTTCGTGTACGGATCCGCTTCGATTAAATGAAAAACGGTTGTTTCAGGAATTGAAAAATAATTTGCCCACAAATTTAAAGGACACACGGAATATTTTTGAAATTCGTGACAATGTGTTGTACGTGTGGAATGCCAAGGATTTTTGTGTGATGACATTAAACGTTGCAACAACACGCGGAGAAAATGAAGAAGACGTATTTTATCAGGTAAGTGATTATTTTGTGGTTGATTTAAATAATGTATATTTTATAATAAATAAATTGGAAGTCGTGGCACAACGTATTTTGCGCTGTGTTTTGTTGTGAGTACACTTAACCTCTACAACACATTCCACGAAAAACCGCGCAAACGCATGATTGCGTTACTCGCATTTAAATATATGAAACGATAAAGAAGAATGTTACTATTCAAGTTTGTTTTATTACTTGAAAGTTTATAATTTTAATTTCTATTATATACTTATAATCATATAACAATTTATACATTTTATAATAATACACATTTTACTTTAATAAGTATACTATATTGATTTGTATTTGATAGTTACTTTTCTTATTTTATATTAAAGCTACTGAGGACTAATGTTACGTTAATGGTACATTTCACTTGTAGCTTCGCTTTTCAAATTAGTTTACTTTATTGAAATGTATTTGTATTGTGACTATGAAAAAGAATTCTAAGTATTTGGAAAATAATGTTTTTCTTCATTACTTTACATTCAGGTTTTGCATTGAGAGACTTAGTGATCATTGATAATATATATTACATCTTTGTCGACTTTTGATTTTCTGTGCCTTCAAACAAATCTTACAATCTATCAAATAAAAAATTAGTTTCCAAATGACTTTATAATACTAACATCAAAATTCTGTGTGAGAAACTATATTTTGAATGAAATTTGCATAATCAATTTCTAATTTTCCTTTTAACATGAATATATTCAGACGAAGGTAAGTTTGAGTAGATTACATTAGACACTGTTAGATGATTTTCTACTGAAATGTTGACATCTGAAAAAGTATTTTTATTAATTAATGTTATTGAATTAACAGTAAATATGAAAAATAATTGTACACTCTCTTTCTTCTTTGCTGTATTTTTATTTATTTTTCTACTTTATTTTTAATTGAAATATAACTGCACCAAACATCACTAGTCCTAATATCAATTACCTAAAATTATTACTAAAATAAGCAATCATAATTTGATTCTGCAATCAATTCAGTTCAACTAATTCTTAAAGAACATATTTTAATATATAATATTTATGAATCTAAACATGAATATTTTATATATTAACACATTAATTAAGCTGTATGTAGTCAACATAATTGTAAGAAACGAGTTCACTTAAAAATTTAAACTAATATGAACATTGTTCTAATCTGAAAAATAGTCAGCACAATAAGACTGAAAAAACACATGAATTATTTCATACAATTCACATGAAACACTTCAATCTTCATGTACTTTCGCATTCAACAATAGTATATACTTTCAATTAATATTGGTATTAAATTATGTAGTATATTTTTATGATATACTATTTAAACTGTAAAAGATATTATACTTGCTATTTTGTACTTTAATAATTAATACATTGTATGAATGAGCATTGCAACACACAGTTTCGCATTCAATTGTACTACCTACTTTTAACCGATTCTACCAAATTATCTAATTTAAACATGTGCTATATTATTTCTATTTATTCAATTTGTATTCAAAATATATAATTAATTTACAATAAGGGTAAGTCAATTTATAATATTTGAATCGATAAATCAACCTAACACTATACTTTAATATTACAATCAATTTTTAAACATAATTTCCAAATACCTAAAATTTAATTTTTAACATAATTCTCAATTATCTAAAATTCAATTTTTGAATATAATTCCCAGTTGTCTAAAATTTAATATTTGAACATAAACTCTAATCACCTCAAATTCATTTTGTAAACATAATTCTCTATTACCTAAAATACAATTTTTAAACATAATTCTCAGTTACATAAAATTCAATCTTTGAATACAATTGCCAATTCAATTTTCAAATCTAATTTCGAAGTTCAATTATTAAAGCTAGTTCCCAGTTACCTAAAATTCCATTGAAATTCCCGAACGGTCGAAAGGAATTAGAAGAATCGAGAAGCGCTTAACGCTGAAGAGATTAATGGTCCCGTGAAAACGTCGGTGACGTTCGGACCTTCGTTAAGTAGACGTTCCTCGATAACCGGGGACCATTACCGCGGTTCGGTGTGTCCGCTTACACGACGATTACCGCGAAAGCGTTTTCTCCGGCGAACTTTTGATTCGGAACGATTAAGCTCCGGCTAAATTATGGTCCGCGATACCAATATACAGCCGCAGGAGGCGCGTGTCCGTACACGCGTGTCCCGCGGGTTAATCGGTGTACGTACATACGCGCACTAGCGGAAAATGATTACGTGGTAAATGAAAGGGAAGCGGCATGGCGGACTCGTGCACACCGAGAATGGGCAGAACGTTTCGTTCTCGCCTGTGCTTTTATTTCATTTCAATGGCACCGTGGGATCAGCGGGTACATTAATGCTTGGGCGCTCGCGAGCGCCACCACCGACCACCACAGACCAAAGGACCGGTGAGGGGATAATTTATAGGAAATGGGTTGTTCGACGCTCCGGAGTAATTTAATTAAAATAAATGTCTGTACCGCGGAGGAACGTTAACCCACGAACCCGCGGTCCACAACTGCGAATAAAATGCAAATTCAGACCCTTCACCGGGTTACGTATGGGTATTCGTAGCTAGGTAGATAAAGAGTACGCGGAGAAGGGGTGGAATAGAGAAGTCTCGGGGAGGGTCCTTTCCGGTTATACTCTCACCGTTCAGGGACCGATCATCGCTCGTTCACCCGTTGATTTGATAAGGGAAAATCCTGAGGAGTCATCTCACTTGTTCAAGAGTTTTCCTCCAGGCTGTATCAGTAGTTAAAATTTAAATACTTTCAGAACTGTGTAAATTTTGCTTAAGAAATAGCTCTGTTTAGTAGTATTCTCTCTAATCTTGAAAGATGGGGGAATGGGTAATAAAAGAGATTGCATCTCTATCCAACAAATAGAAATTTATGTAAGAATTATATTGAAAATTAAGAGGTTTCTTCTGAAGCACTGAATAAATCTATGTTGAAAATTTGTTGAATATTGTATTAAATGTGGCTTGTTTCTTTTACACGCAACTATGTATTCTATTTCAGATCTGAAAATGAAGCATTTCATATAATAAAGCAAAAAAGTTATTCATATAAGAATTACAGGAATTATAGACTATTTTAATGTTACACTATTGACACTTTTTAAATATTCCAGCTTGTACCTTCCACAGAGTTGATATAAGTGGTCGCCGTAACTGATCGCTGTTTGGATTCATACGCCCTCAGTTACAGTGAGTTGGTTGATTTCGAGAAGCGTACCATCCGTGAAAATAAAGATACCGGATAGTAATTATGATTGATTTGTCCACAACTTAGCATATTTGTACACTATATAATAAACGTATGGTTCTGAGTCACAGTAATCAAAGACACTGAAGTTTCTTCGTTCTCGTCGACCGCTCCTCAAAACCAGTTTCACGAACTAACGATAGCCAGTGTTCATTTATGAAGGTATTTTAGCGATCAGTTAACGCGACCTTACTATAAAAATATGGTACCGTTTAGAAAAACCTGGGAAATCTTAAAATATCATTAACTCTTGCTGTCCTTGGTCTAATTTGACTCGTCACGCACTCACAGTTTATATATGATAAATCTCACTCGAATTTTTAATACATTTCAATGTGAAGTTTACATCTAATTGTAATTTGTATAATAAATGGTAATTGAATATTGGACATGATTAACCTTTTTTATAAAAATTGTTTTAGAGAAATTGTTTATTTCTTATCTTATCTCATCTTATTTAAGAATTGTTTCAAAATTATAGCAACAAATTGTTTTGACACACCTGACGAATAAACCTAGCAAGGAGTTAACCCATTCGAGACGGCGATTTTTTTCGAACACGGTCCCCAGGAGCGAAGCTCTTTTTCTCTTTATATTATTCATCTTTAATAAAAAAAAAAACTAGATTACTTAGAATGTTTTCATTGCATGGAGCGGATTGAACACCATGTGTGTAATATAAAGTGATATAAGGTTTTACCTCGATAACAATTTTATTCAGAATAATTGATAATTACTCATTACTACTGTTGCACACCTGATGTGTAACCGGTTTTATTGGCTCGGAAAGCAATTGTACACACGGTGTGCAATCGATCTCGAATGGGTTAAAGAATCATCTTAAGCAAAAATTCGTTTGGACATTACACATCTATTTTATTCAAACATTACATTATTGGAGTCGTAGTAGTTTAAGAGCTTTTTTCGTACAAATACAAATAAGACAAAAGATGTTCCATTCTATAAGTACAGCTTGTGAATCATATTTACTCCCTCACAAAATGCTTTGTCCATCTCTTGTAGGAGACACCCTCTCTGCTCATGAAAGTAAGAGATAGCACAAAAGAAAGTACTCATTCCTTTCCTCTTATCGAAAGAACCTCGCACCTCCTACAACCCCAACTTCCTTCTTTTTTCTAAGAGTCAATTGAATTGAACAATCGTCGCGGCTCCCAAGGGCCACTTTATGTCCGCTAGGTGCATGCGCGTTGGCCGACAGAAATATCGGTCGTAAATAATAAAAGTTAGCGAGGTTCCTCCCTGGCGCGCACGGCGGGACTTTAAACCGGAAGATAGGTGTCGCAGGATACGGACGAGGCAGAGTAGAAGGGGGGCGATGAGGTGGGCAAAAGAGGCAGCGGGGCAGCATCAGGGTGTGGGGCGGAGACAAAGACGCGCTATTGTCAACCGCTCCGCCATCGGAACCACCATCCGCCGCGGGAAACTTTGAATCATTTTTATTGCATAGAGTTATCTTTGTTACCAGCGGAACGAACGTCTAAACGCGTCCTCTCTGTCCCTTTCTCTCCCTTCGTCTTCCTTCCCTGTCCGTACTGGTTATGTCCCTCTCCTCGTCCTCGCCTTTCTGCTGCCGCCGACACCCCTCCTCCTGCACACCCTTTTTGTTCTTCTCGCTCGATGCGAGATAATACGAACGAGGAAACGTTCACACCCCTTTGGCTGCCCAAATGGAATAAGTTCTTTAATTCGCGAATTTACC